ATTCAGTAAAGTCCGTAGTTAGTCACAATCCATGTTCTGGTTAGAGCGTTAAAAGAGATTAATTAAGTATCAATAATGAACTAGAAGGATATCACCTTCAGGAGCAAGATAAATCCTTTGAATGTCACCGTATGGAGAGAGAATACGCCGAAGCTTTAGATGGTCCATATGCGGGGGAATCCGACTCAAATAGCAGACACCACGCTTATCGGCCTTCTCTGCCTCCTTCAACAACCGCTTCTTTATTTTTTTTTTTGGCACCCGTTTTCTCATCATAGGAATGTGAACCGGTTTCCTTCGAAGCATTAATCTCCTTTTCCTCCAGCGCAACCCAGAGTTACCCTCCAAAAGTTTCTTCTTCCTCTTCCTCTTTATTTGGGGACTTACAGCAACTTCCTCTTCTTCACCGTAAATTGGAGAGGCCTCGCGTTGAAGAGTCTCATCATCGGCCTGGAGATGTTCTCCCAGGGTTTCCGAACTGGAAGCTTCCTTCGATTTTCGCTTTTTCATTTTAGGAACGAATAATGAATTTTAAGTGCAAGAGCAGGGGAGAAAGTGGATTTCAATTTTCAATCAGAAAATACGTGCACGAAAATACAGGAGGGAGGGAGAAGTGAGTGTTCGTGAGTCTCTTTGCGTATGTCAGGGTTCTTAAGCCGACTGCGGAAGTGGAAGCTGGTGGTGAGGAGGAAGCATTGTATTAAAACTCAGACCGGACAACGAAACGAAAATGTCAGCGGGCCACATATCTCATGGTTCAACCGGCGGTCGAACTTGTAACCTAATAATTTGGAAAAAAAAAAAAACACACACACACTACATCAAGTTATTAATACAACACCACCACAAATTCACAATATGTTCTAGTTGCCAGCACAATAACCCCACAACATGTAAAACAATTTGTGTAGATGCAGCGGAAATTTTCTTTCTACAATGGAAGTTGGTGATAATGTAGCATCGCCCTTCTTAAAGACAAACACCCCTTTAATGCATAAAAGCTATCAGAACATTAAAAATAAACTGAAGCTAATTTTGGTAGCATTCAGAACCAAAGATCACAAGATCAATCAAATGGCCACGCAATCGGATTGAATAATTTTTCAAATAGCAGAGAAAAAGAAGAGAAGCATCGCGAAGAATCTAACCTGGAAGTGGGAGGATAAGACGAAGATGAGAAGGGTGAAGGAGGAAACGAAGGTGAGAGAAGAGTGAAGAACGTAAACGTCGATCGATGCTGAGCTTAGTGAAGAGTGAAGAAGACGAAGACGAACTCGAGTCGAGCTCCCACTCCCAGTCTGCTACTCTGCCACCGTTGAAGAAGACGAAGAATGAAGAAGGGCGGAATAGAAAGAAGGCCGATCGACGCCGACCCAGAGTTGAGACTGAGTGATGCGTTGCTGAGACGGCGAGGGTGAGACCCAAGGCCTGGAGGCAAACAAGGGAGAGGGAGAGCGACTGCGAAGACGAGGGGGAGAGGCCCGGTTCAAAGCAGGGTTTTCCAATTTTTCAAATACCAATTTTGCCCCTTCAAAGACCTGCCCACCCACAAATGTCCGTTCCGGGTTCCGTTATTTCCCGGCTCTTTAAAACCAGCCCGGTTCAAAGCAGGTCAATTGGGCCAAATGGTTTAACCAAATTATTTTCTTTCCGGTGACGGTTCAGTCATCCGGACCGGTCCATGCGTTTTGTTGGGGAAAAATAAATGCAATTTCTCTCTCTCTCTCTCTGTCTTCTTTTTCTTTTGCCTGAATTTTTTTGGTCATTCACATAGCTGTTCCTTTTTTATTGGGCCCCTGTTTAGCCCTTTCGAAGTTTCCAGGCCAAATCCTTGGACAATTTGCAGTGCCTCATGTTGTTGATCCCCGGATGTATTATCACAATGTCTCCATCTGATCTCTTTTAGATATATAGCCCTGGCAAAATCAACAAAATGGGCAAGCATTTCACCAAGTCCATTAAAAAAAATTAATTTCAACTAAGATCAGATTTTCAAAATCGTAGTTAATTGAGTTATAAAGAGAAAGGAGAATAACATATAAGTCCAAGAAAACTAATTAATTCAAATAAAATCCCAACCAATTTCAAATCACTAATCTTTAAAAATTTATAAATTTAACTCTCAATTTTACAATTTTATTATAATAAAATTTATAACTTATATATCAAATTTTAAAATAATTGAAAAATAAATAAATTTTTTTTTTAGACTTTAAAATGTAAATTATAAATTCATCACAATAAAATAATAAATTTAAAAATTAAATCTGCAAATTCCTAAAATTTAACACTTTAAAATTAATTAAGACTTAATTTAAATTAATTGATCCCCTTGAAACCTATCTATTATTCTCCCTAAAGAAAACATTAGATTAAATCATAGCTAATTTTCAAAATTATCAAGAAACTACCCAATATTACAAATGAAATTTCAACGGATTTAACCGTGAACGAAGTCAAGGGATTAACCCAGTAATCGAGGCACTATTGAGTAAACGAAATTGTTGGAGACCTTTTAAATCATCTTCACACCGGAACAAATTTATACACCTGGATCCCAATCAAAAAGACGTCTTCCATCAAATTAGTTAGCCGATCATATACCTTCAAATTGGAAAAAAATAAAAATACGAAACTCACGCTACCTGATGTCAACTATCAGATGATGAAACAAAGTTATTCCATATCAAGATAGAGTCTCCCAGTAAATATTAGGAGGAAGAGCTTATCTTAGTTTTCTCTAAATGAATACTTGAAGTGCCTGCGTTCATTGGAAAGTCTACATGACACCCTAGGGTCAACCCATCCAAGCCCCACGCTAGCTCAAGCATCAATTGGATGAACCATTTTACCATTTCTGGATTCTCTCGTCAAATACGTCCAGAAACATCTAGCAGAACTCGTTACAATCAAGCAAGAGTGGTGATCTATCCAGCTTGTGGTGTCCTCGGACCGAATCTTCCGCGGAGGTTATCACAAGTTCTGGACACCAAAAGAAGTCTGGGATCGTCTTCAGGAATCTCACGTTCCTACATGCCAAACAACAAATAAGGATTCAGTTTACATGTAAGACAGCTAAACAGTAACTATACCCAACAGAGACCGAATTATGCAATTTTGCGTAGCAAGAACAAATGTGATTTCACAAACTATCAAGAAATATTGAAAGCAAACAGAATATTCAATCAACATTGAGGCCGCAAGCTCACTTTTAACCCTTGGTAATAAGCTTCTAAGGCAGGGAATGAAGGGACTATTTTACGAGCTCGCATCAGGTCCCATATGTAGTTAGCAGTAGTATATCCCCCAGTCTGCAGTTCAAACAAAAATCACCCGACCACTCATTTAAAATATGGGCAGCAAATATAACATATCTCCTCCAAAGCCCAAAACAAAAGGAACGTGAGTACCTTCTCACCAGCAGCTACAAGCAGGAGATCACTTCCCATCTTGGGATTCAAGAAAAAGTTCCTTGAAGTCATATTTACCTAAACATTATAGATTAATGGTCAGCTAATAGTCTAAATAATTTATGTAATCAGAATGACTGAAGTTAGAGCAACATGCCAGCGTGTCTTGAGCAATTTGCATTCCCTTTGGAGTGTGCCCAATCATCGCACCTTCTGCAAGTGTCTGCACCAATGATGGTTTGCATAAATAAGTGTGCTCTTTGAACGAATCATAACAAGAGAAACAAGAGAGCATTGATTTAACATAAACTGACTTCAAAAGAAATGAAAGCCAACAGGAGAGCAGCCAAAATTGAAGTTACCATGAATAAATACATAACTATCGGCCAAATATACCATAAATGGAAGTCGAAGGATTGAACACTAGATAAAAGTGGCGAAGACAAGTAGCAAGTAGAGATTGGCTGCCACCCTCGTAATATAACACCACCTATTGCTACAAATATGTGGAAAGAATAAAACTTGCAGATAATGTCACTTCAACGTATGCAGACAAAACTTCAACTGACGCAGACAGAAATCTCCTCATGCAACTAACGGCATTGTGCAGCTATGCACTATTTAGCAGATAAATATGCTTAACATCGAGTCCTCTAAAACCCAAGAATGATATTTGTTCCCCGCACTCTAACAAGTAGAGAGGGCATGAAATAACAGGGGAAAACAGCAGCTGCTACAAAAGAGACTGATTAACTACATAGAGATGACCCAATATACTTAGGATCAAATACAATATAAGATGTATCAGAGTTCATGAAAAACTATCTGGTCCCTTGGACTTGGTAAGTTCAAGGTCAAGTCCAAGCTTTTTGAATCAAACCAAAGACACCAAAGAACAAGATAAATAACAGAGACTTAGACAAACTCACCACATAAAGTTCTGGAGCAAGAGGCTTTCCTGATTTCACGTAGTCTTCAAATGTTTGAAGACCACGATCAAGGTCTCCAGCATGTAAATAGCACCTGTATAAAATCGGTAATCATGATACAACAACAACAACAATTAATCAGTGATAAATTGGATTATTTAATAATAGAATTGGCAAACGTATACCAGGAGAATAAAACAACAGCAAGGTGAAAGGCTTGCCACATTATTAATACTGGCTCCAGAGTAAGTTAATAACACTGAAATTTTGGACCATGACATACACCAAAAGACTTGCAAAAGGCAATCAATCAATTCTCAAGTGGTTCAAATGATTAGCACATGAAAACAAACATGAGTCACCACACTGCTTTAATTAATTGACAGACAAATGAGAAGTCAAACTAAGGCATTCCGGAAGTTTTCAAGTTATTAAACAGTAAAGCTTCTGAAATTAATAATCATGAAATCCTCACCTAATTACTTGCATGACGATATAGGTATCAGGAATTATCCCTTCCTTTTTTAGCATCTCTAAAAGAGTATCTGTCAGCTGCCACAATCAAAAATGAAGAATTGAAATTTTTCAAAAGAGATTTTGAAATAAAGAGATATAAAATTATTTTTAAGAAACATGAATCTGAATATTAAAAAAAGAAACCAAGTCACGCATGAACAGGCATGGAGAAAGTCCAAAGTGAACCGGGTGAAGCAATTGTGTTTGGTCATCAAAGTTCTGTCAGTCTTGGTTTTCAAGTCTACTAACTCTATTCAATAAACATCAAGTGATATGACCAAAGTAATGCAATGATGCAGCACTATTCATGCTTGTATAACCAAAGTAATGGTCATTCCATCACTTGAATCTCAGCTCATTATGGGGCTGGTAATGGTGATAGGATCTTTTTTTAGGGGGAAAAAGAGGTCTGCTCTGATTTTAATGGCCAGGATAACTGCTTATTTACATCCCTGCAGGAGGCTTGTAAGTGTGAAAGCTGATAGGAGTTTGGAGGCCACATGCCAGTAGAATTCACTCTTCATGACAGTAAGCATACCACCAATTCGAATCCCTAGCTCAGTTGCCCCTCTTTTGTTAACTTAATCTGTGTCCAACATATGCATGACAAACAATGAGGAAACTGTCTAAAAGCCTTCCTTTAATAGGATGGCAC